CAGTCATTCACTATAAATCAATATGGTATACAAAATGAGATTTTCCATCTAGTATACATTGTATGTTGGCTCAGTCAAGGATACAACCATACATGTTTTCATCAACAAATAATTTTCTATTTCTTGTTTCTTATGTATTTTGCTTTCTTCTCCTCCCTTGATTCCCTACCTTTCACCTTCTGCCAACTCTCCCCCACCCCCCACATACACACACTGTCTCTGGTATGTACAGTTGTTTTTCCATGTCTTTCTTTTTTCACATTTTATTGATTCACTTAATTAATTTAAAGATTTTAATAGCAAACACAGCTGATACATACATATCTATGAATGCATGTCTGACTTTAGACATAAACTTCAGTGAGCAAGGTGAATATACTATAAAGTAGCACCTCACTGGGGCTAGATAGCTTACTGCAGTCATTAAATAGGTATTAATAAGTATTTTTTAATGCATTTTAAAATTTCAAAACAATGTTTTAGTTTTAATAGATCAAAATACAAAAATGTTAATAGAGATTTGCTTCAAACTTAAAGTCAGGAAAAAGATTAGAATTCAGTTCAAATCATAGGTAGATGAACCTATCAACAGTTCAAGAGAAGACAAAAATACTTAAATATGGAAATCAAAACATTGAAGAAAATCAGTAATATTTTTGTCTAAGGTAAAAAAAATTCTACTTCACTAGTTTAGACTCTTGTAATTAATCTCGCTGCTACTGAATTTGCAGTGTTACTGTGGTCCGATCTTTCCACTTAAGCTCTGGTAGTTAACATTCAACTCTGGACTTGTCCCTACCATTAGGCTGGACATTCTCTTGGTTGTTTCTTGGACTCTTATTTCTGTGTGTCCGACTTTAATTTTACTGATCTAGCACTCCCTTCAGTACTTCTTGGTGAGCTGGACTGGTGTTGGCAAATTTAGGTTTTGTTTATCTGAGAATGTTTTTGTCTTTTTTTCCCATATGAAAGATAATCTTGCTGGGTATAGTATTCTTGGTTGAAATTGTTTTTCACTTAACACTTTAAATATATATTCCCATTCTTTCCTTGTTTGCATTGTTTCTGATGAGAGGTCTGACATTAGCCTGATGAGATATCCTTTGAAAGTAACTTGACATTTCTCTTGCCAATTTTAGTATCTTGTCTCTGTCTGTGGTTTTGGTCAATCCGGCTATGATGTGCCTCGGAGAAGATCTTCTTGGGTTGATTCTATGTGGAGTTCTTTGTATTTCTTGGGCCTGGATATTTTCATACCTCTCTAGGTTTGGAAAGTTTTCTTTCAGGATTTCATGGAATAGGTTATCTATGCCCTTATTGGTTTCTTCACCTTCCGGGATACTGATGATCCAGATGTTTGGGCACTTAATGCTATCTAGTATTACTCATATGTTGTTCTCATTTTTTTTTGGGGGGAGTTATTCTCTCAGTCTTCTTGGTGAACTTTTTTAGGTCAGAGGTTCTATCTTCTACATCTGAGATTCGATCTTCTGCATGATCTAATCTTTTTTTGATGTTTTTGACGGAAGTTTGATTTCCTGTACTATAGCCTTCATCTCTAACAATTCCATTTGATTCTTTTTTTTATGATGTGTATCTCCTTTTTCAGATTGTGCAATAACTTCCTTACCTCTTGGAACTCAGCATAACTTTTCTCCTGCATCTTCTGGAGGTCGTTGTCTCTCTTGCAACTCTGTGAGCTTTGTCACCATGAATATTTTAAATTCTTTCCCTGACATTTCTATGAGTTCTTTTGTATTCTTTGTGGATGAAGAGGAGTTATTCTTTTCCATTAGAGGAGAGATATTTTCTTGGTTTCTCATATTCGTTGTGCCTCTGTGGTGGTTTCTGGTCATTGGGTGAATTATATGTTTTTTTCTCCTATTTTTTGGAGTTAAATCTGAACATCCAGAGGAATGCAAAAGGAGGTGACCTGCAGTCTGTAAACAGTACCTGTTTTCTCTCTTTGCACAGCTGATTCAATGAAAATTGAGGATTAATTTGGCCCTAAACGTATTCAGATATTTGACTACTGAGCACTTAAACCTGTCTAGAAAATCAGTGTGTGGAGGCTGAGCAGAAAAGTGAGAAAGGTAAAAAGAAAATGAAAAGGAATAGAAAAAAACAAACTAGAGATGAAACAGGACAAAAACAAAAAGAAAAAGAGAAGGAAACATTTTTTTTGTTTGTCTTTAATTTCTCCATTCTCTCAGAATTTTGAGCATGTATACACATAGGCCCAGCATGTTTTTCAAGCCTCCAGGGCTGAAACTTGAACAACATAATTGATTATGTAGACTACAGCTCCCTCAATCACTAAGCTATGTGGCTGGCCCTAAAATTTATTTTTATTTATTTATTTATTTTGGAGAGGTTTTTGCTATAGGGTGCGTGCGCTCGCCAGACAGACAGAGAGAGACAGAGAGACAGAAAGCGAGAAATCATCCCCCGGGGGGGGGTGGCCACACCGCAATCCCTTCTCCTCCATTCTCCTCTCGGGATCTTGGGCATGCACGCACACGTGCCCGGCATGAGTTTTAAGCCACCGGATCCGGGACGTGAACCGCAGTCGACTACATGGGAGTCCAGCAACATAGCCATTATGCTAACTGCTGGTTCCCCTGAATTAGAAAATTTTTAAAGAAAAAAACTCATCTGTAATCCTTACAGTGATATAGCCACTGTGGCTATGTCTTAATATATGACTTATCTACTGTCGCTATTAATGCTGTGTAGCAGATCACCTCACAAACAATTGTGATAAATTTAGCTCATTTTTCTGCCATCAGTACCTTTGGCTAGAATCAGGTTAGCAGTTTTCTGTCCCAGCTGGGTTTTCTCAGGCACTTCTAGTCACCTGATGATTGATACGGCTGTGTATGCAGGAATGGTAGAAGCTCTCTTTCTGTTATGATCCAACTGGGTTACAAAAGTGAGAGGAGAAGCAGATGAAGAATAAGCACATGGTCTCTTATCCTATTCAGTTGGTCAAAGTCTCAAGGTCAGTACAGATTCAAGGATTGGGAAATAGACTAACAAAAAGTGTGGAAGAAGGCAAGGAGTGCTTGTGACCACTTTTGTATTCTATTACAGATGCATTTCTTTCCAGTGTTTTTTTTCTTTTTTTTTTTCTAGGCTCATTTTAATTAGTTATGGTCCTGTCAGATGCAATTTATATCCAGAGTCTTCTAATGGTATTAGTTTAGGTATTTTTAATATTCTTATAGCTCCTAGTAACATAATTTTAAAGAGTTGTCAATACTCTATTTTGTGGCCATATTACTTAATATGTTGTTGTACATTGCTTCAAGGGTGACATTGAAAAATATATTTAGGCACTGATCAGTCAGGACTGATGCCTTTTTTTTTTTTTTAAAGTTTGCTGTAGGTGTATGCACTCACAAGAGAGAGAGAGACAGAGAGAGAGAGACAGAGAGAGAGAAAGAGAGAGAGAGAGAGAGAGAGAGAGAAATCACCCTCCAGGGAGATAGTCACGCTGCAATCCTTTCTCCTTGAACCATGATAGGCTACATGGGAGTCCAGCGTAAGCATTACACCATCTGGTGGTCCCCCATGATGCTATTTTTAAACATGGAGGTTAAGACCAGCAGATGGCATAGTGATCATGTTACTGGACCCCCACGTAGTTGACTGTGGCTCTAGTCCCAGAACTGGTGGCTTAAAACTCATGCTGGGCACATGTGTGTGTGTCCCAAGAGGACAATGGAGAAGGCATTGAGGCATGGCCATTCCACTTGGGTAAGGTGTGATTTCTTACTTTCTGTCTCTCTGTCTCTTTCTATGTCTCCAGCAAGCGCATACAGCCTATAGCAAAAATCTCTTGAAAAAAAAAATGGAGCTCTGAGTTAATTAAATATTTTACAGAAAATTTATATGAATTAGGATTAATTTCAAATTAAATATACATACAAGGGTCACTCTAGTGATTTCAGAAAACAAATTAGATCACTACTTTCTTAGAAAGGGTTATTATATACCCTTCTAATTCTTAGATTTGCTAAAAGGATATATAAGATAACTAAAATTAGGATGTTTAAAGTTCAATCTATTAAGACAGTTGAGCAGGGAGAGAATAGTTTTTCTTTTTTTATTATTATTGGATAATCTCTATTTTCTCTATTTCATCTCAAAAATTGTTAAAAATTTTATTTACTTATTTTTATATTTTTAAATTGTATATATTTAAGGTTTAACATAATTTTTGGATATACAGATACATAGTTAAATAATTACTACAACCAAGTCATTGACCGTATCTATCATCTGCTACTTTTTTTTTTTTTTGTGATAAGAGGACCTACAATCTACTTTTAGCAAATAGTCAGTATTTAATAGAATATTATTAACTGTAGTCCTCCTGCTGTACCTTAGATCTCTAGACTTATTCATCCCACACAACTATAAGTTTGTGTCCTTTGACCAACTTCTCCCCACTTCCCCCAACCTCTCACTCTTACTATTTTATTCTGTTTCTGTGTGTCCCACTTTTTTTTTTTTATTCCACATGTATAAGAGATCATGTGGTGAGTTTGTCTTTCTGTGCCTGGCTTATTTCACTTAGCATAATGTGTTCCAGGTTTATCCATGTTGTCACAAATAGCAAAGTTTCATATTTTTTAAAAAAGATGATCTGTTGGTGGATACTTGGGTTGATTTAATTTCTTGGCTACTGTGAATAATTCTGCAATAAATATGAGAGTGCAGAGTATCACTTTGACATAAGGGTTCCATTTTCTTTGAATATAGACCCAGAAATGTACAATAGTTTTATGTTTAATTTTTTTGAGGAACCTCCACGCTATTTTCCATAATGGTGAGGACTGCATAGTCGATGTGAGGGTGGACCCAGGACCTCCTTGAGTCAGATATCTTTAAGTGGCATTGATCTCAGTGCTGAAATCTCATTTGGCCTCATCTTGAGATTGCCCAGTGTCACCCAAAGCAAGGAACTCTCTGGCCTGACTGTGCTTGTCTTGCAGAGTCGGTAGCTCTGAGGCTGCGAGGTGGCACTCATCGCTGTGCTGGGTGGCTGGATGTGCTCTACAATGGGACATGGGGTGCCGTGTGTAGCAACGCCCTGAAAGACATCGCCTTGTCCATCATCTGCAAGCAGCTGGGGTGTGGTGCATGGGGCTGGCTGGAGAACAAGCCCTTCCAAGAGGCTGGCTCCAGCACCTTCTGGGTAGACAACATCGAGTGCCGCACGCTGCGCAACTCCACTCTGTGGCAGTGCCCCTCTGCCCCGTGGCATCCACGTTCCTGTGCCCAGGGAGAGGAAGCCTGGGTTGCTTGTGCAGGTGTGCCCTGACAGTCTCTGGGGGTGTCCTGGAGGAAGCTTATTTGATTGGATAAGTCACTGGCAGGGGCTGCCTTAGAACCATAATTTGGGGGTAGGTGGGAGGTGCCAGTCCCTGGGATTCTTAAACTTCATTCTGAAGCTTCTCAGGCCAATTGCACTCCCTGCTATTTAACCTACAGAATTGTTAGAGAAAAGACCTCAGGACCCTGAGCAGATCCTGAACTGCTCATCTATACACGACTGTCCAGGTACCCACCCTGCCGCCCCCCTCCCCGCCCCACCTCCCCATTTAGGTACAGTCTCCATGGTGACTGAAATCTCCTTTTCCAGAGGAGGGTGATTTGCGCTTGCATGGGGATGAGGATAACTGTTCTGGGCGCGTGGAGCTCTGGTATGCAGGTTCCTGGGGCACCGTGTGTGATGATTCCTGGGATCTGGCAGACGCAGAGGTCGTGTGCCGCCAGCTGGGTTGTGGCCCTGCGGTGGAAGCCCTACGGAAGGCTGCCTTTGGCCCTGGCTCTGGGCCCATATGGTTGGATGAGGTGGGATGCCGGGGCAGTGAGGAGACCCTGTGGGACTGTCCAGCCCAGCCCTGGGGACGTGGAGACTGCACACACAAGGAAGATGCTGGTGTGCGCTGCTCAGGTGAGTGGGCAGGATGACTGGTGGGATTGTGGGGCCTAAAATTCAGCAGAGGAGGGCCTGGTGTGTGGGCAAGCATGTGTCTTCCTTCTGTCACTAATGGTGAGTAGATGGCACACAGGGTGTTGGTGCAGGAATGGGTCCAAGGACTCTTTCTTTCGGGTGTTCTCCTTCCCCTTCTATTCAGCCAGATTCATAGCACCTAGCCCTGAGTCTGCACTGGTCACAGGTCCAATGTGACTGCCTCCAGCATTGCTGCCAGGGAGTAGATGAATGCCCCTGTTACTCAGGACTGTCAATGCCTTTTTGTCCTTTAACTTGGAGCTTGTCATTTCTTCTGCAGGTGACCAAGAGACCACGGCTCAGCCTCCTCCATTGGGTAGGTGGCTCTTTCTCAAGCTGAACCTCCTTGTGACTGACCATGGCCCAAGGAGCCATTAGTGGGGCTCTACACAGATAAGGCATTGTGGAAGGCTCTGCAACACCTTAGTCAAGTCCAGACACTCCTTAGATTGGAAGACCAAGGTCAGGCTGACCTGAACCATGGTGATAGTGACAACCCCTTCATTGATGAAAACAGCTCTACTTCACTGTGACTGTGTGGATGGAGAATCCATCTGGGACAGAGGCCCCAGACATCACTCAGCCACTTCTCTGGGGGCTTTTCTTGGTGACTGGGGAGTTTCGTCCTGGTATTCCATGGCCTCTTAGATCCTGTGACTCAGTGCCCAAGCAGAGCTGAGGGCAGTGGGCAGTCAGGGTGACAAGAGGTGTCCATTGGACCCCCATCTGTGCCATGTCTCTGTACTCCTCCTGGAACCCACACCCCTGCATTCTTCCACCTGAGTTCTCCACCTGAGCCTCTCAGCTCTATGATCTTGGACTCTCTCTCTTGGGGAAGACAGCATGTCCAGGCACCTCAAAGACCCACCTCTACTCTGGTGTCTATACTCTCCCTGAGAGACTGAGGTTATGCAGTCCCAGAGTCACAATGCCCTGGCAGTGCAGGTACACAGGAGGCCCCGCCTCTCACTGTGCCCCACAGGACCCAGCCTGGTCCCTCCACCAGTCCACAAGGCCTGGACCCTGCCAGAGACTGCCTGCCTCATCCTTGGCTCCCTTCTGTGCATCATCTCCCTGTTCCTGGGGGCTCAGTGGTGCCACCGCAAAGCAGCCTGCATGGGTAGGTGGGCGTGACTGGGCACGGTTAGCACAGGGCCCTGAGATGGGTAGCCTGCTGAGGGTGGTGGGAAGAGAGGGCAAGCTCTGTGAGACTCCAGCCATTGCAGGTCCTCTCTGTCCTGGCCACTGCCCTGCTTGCTGGGTGGTTTTCCTCATGGTGACTTGTCAGTGCCTCTTCTTGCACCTCCAGGCAGTTGGGGACCCAGGGACCCTGATTTTGAGTTTTGCTATCCTTTGGAGTGGGCTGAATGAATACAATTTACTCTCCAGGGCTTCTTCATGTGAGAACAGGGATTTAGGTGGTTTCCTTACATATGTATATTCAGTAGCTTTTCAGGTTGCATTTGGCAACTGCTACCTACAAGCTTGAACCCAGGACTTGGGGTGGTTGCCAAGAAAATATGTAGCCCCTAGTGGTATCAGGTCAATGTGTTTGGTGGTGAGCTGTTATCTCAGAAGCTGGAGTCCTGGTGTGCATGAGGGACCACAGGGGACCAGTTCCAGTGGGCTTAGACTGTAAGCGTATTTCCTCTAGAAGGTTCTGGTGTTGCCTTCGCAGGTTCTGTGCTGTCGGGGGACTTGCCATCAGAGGGTATCTATGAAGACATTGGACCTGTCTTTATGGGAGTGAAAGACATGAGGGCTGCGTTGCCTGAGGACCCAGTGCTGGAGGAGGAGTATGACGACGCTGGAGAACCTGAGGACTGCCCCAGGGAGGAGGAGGAAGAAGAGGATGGGGTGCTGTCGAGTCCCACGGGTGTGCACCTCTGTTCTTTGGCCTCCATCGTGGTTTTCCTGCTGTACTGCTATGCTGAGGGCTCTGCTGTGACCACTGCCTACATTTAAAGGACTTGAGAGCCACTTCTCTGTGTGTCCATGACCCTCATTTCTGTCTCTGGCCTGGTCATGAGAGACTAGTCTTTGAACACTGCTCTTTAGACAGGCTCTTAATGGGTAGATGTTGAATTAGAGCTATTAATCTTTGATGACCTCCAACTCACTCTCTATCCCTCTTTTCTTTTCCCTTCCCTCTCTCTTTCTTTCTCTTTTCCTTCCTTCCTTCCTTCCTTCCTTCCTTCCTTCCTTCCTTCCTTC